GGCTCTACTGTCCCACAGGCCGTTACGACCTGCTCCTGGGCTTGCTGCAAATGCTGGGCTAAGTAGTTCTAAAGCAGCACGGTAGTTTATGGCCGCTGATTTATAATGCCTTAGGATAATGCTGATGCACAATTTAACTTCTAAATACATGAATTTATGGCTAACCACGCTTGACAGCCTGACTAGGTACAAAGGCAGCATGTACCTGGGGATGGGTGTAGGAAGGACACCTGGCTGTTTCTGCTTTGCTTATTAAAGCAGGGAATAATCTAGGCTGGAATGGATCCTTGGAGGTTGTTTAGTCCAATAAGATATCTGCTCTAGTATGACTGCCCAGCAAAACACAGACAGAGGGTGCAGGGAAAGGACATGTCCAGCAAAATTTAGAAGCTGGTAGTCTAGTTTGAGTGGAGTTAACTCAATTTTACTTTTTTTCTTGAAGACCAGAACTAACTGTTCAAGTATTTTTCAAAAGTAAACACCGGTCTCTTTTAGAAGTGTGTTTCAGGGGATACTGTGTTAATCATAAACTTGCTGATCATGCCAAAGCAGTTATTTATGGGCGGGGAAGAAGACAGAGTCTTGCCTGTTATTTCCATGTATGGCACCTGTTTAAAACTAGATGCAAGTAGATTCTTGTTAGATTCAAGACCTGTTTAAACCTTGCAACCCCGAAGAGCTGGATCTGGCTCTGAAGAGGAGCCAAGTACAGTGGTTAGGCTGTGCAGCATCTCGGTTTGGCTGGCATTCTCCCAGTGCTAAGGCTGGGTTTTGCAACCTTAAAGGCGACCCCTGTGGTTTTATGTGCCTAGATGTTGTTTTTTTGTCTGTCTGAGATATCAGCAATCTTTCCTCTCTTTCTTTTGTAGAACATGACTTCAGAAGATAAGGAGTTTTCAGAAGGTGGCACCTTCTCGCCAAAAGCCAGCACCAGTAAGCTGCCAACAGATGCGTCTCCTGACTCTAAATGCCCTATCTGCTTGGACAGGTTTGACAATGTGGCCTATCTGGATCGCTGCTTGCATAGGTTCTGTTTCCGCTGTGTCCAGGAATGGTCAAAAAACAAAGCAGAATGTCCCCTCTGCAAGCAGCCCTTTTTCTCCATTTTCCATACGATTAGAGCGGAAGATGACTTCAAGGAGTACATCCTCAGCCCTTTGGAACACAGATCTTTTGCCAGCCCTGACGGCCGGCGGTTTCGTTACCGCACCACCTTAACGGGCGAGCGCCGCACCCGTGGCGCCCCCCCCCAAAGGGTGCTGTCCCCTCCAGAAAACGGGGTGCTGTTTGAAGGGCTGTTCAGCGAGCCGGTGCGGCAGAGAGCCGGGGAGATCCAGCGGATGATGAGGAGGCTGGCCTCCAGGAGGCGGGCTAGCGCGGAGGGCAGGTCCATGCGGCAGATCGAGGAGGAGGAGATGATCAGCTTCCGCAGAGCCCTGTACCGCACCGGCATGCATATCCGGAGCATCCAGGACGGTGGCCGCTACCGAGACATTTCGGCAGAGTTTTTCCGCCGCAACCCTGCTTGCCTTCACAGGTTGGTTCCTTGGCTGAAGCGAGAGCTCACCGTCCTGTTTGGTGCTCATGCATCTTTGATTAATATTGTGCAGCACCTTATCATGAGTAACGTGACTAAGTATGATATTGAAAGTCCGGCCTTTGCTGATGATTTAAAGCCATTTTTGCTGAATCGGACGGAACACTTCTTACATGAATTCATCAGTTTTGCTCGTTGTCCTTTTAACTTGGAAGCATACGATCAGCACGCCAATTACGACTGTCCTGCGCCATCGTATGATGAAGGAAGCAACTCTGACTCGTCAATTATTACGATATCTCCAGATATGCCATATTCACAAGGGCCAGATAACAGTTTGTCTGTGACTGATCTTGATCAGGCCCCCTGGGATGATGAAACTCCTGGGCCTTCCTATTTCATTTCAGAAGATATTCCTGCAACCATAGCTTCACCTCTAGAGACATCAGAAAGTTCTGATGAGGACTCCGCGACAAAGAGTGAAAGAACCAAACTGCAAGCTCAGTTACAGGCTAATACCAACTCTAATGATAGCAACTCTTCTTCAGACAATTGTGTTATTGTTGGGTATGTTAAGCCATTAGCTGAGAGGACACCAGAAGTGGTTGAGCTGTCCTCGGACTCTGAGGAGTCCGTCAGGGAAGAGAAGAGGGAAGATCTGAAGAAAAAGCAGCAAATCCAGTGTCGCAGCTGGAGTGACAGTGAACCAAGCAGGAGTTTCTCACCACGTTCCCCGACGTATAAGGAGGATGCAGGTAGCTGTAGAAGCTACCTATCTCTTGCAGTTGACAAGGCAGAGCCAAAAGATGTTGAGAAGAACAAATGTAAGGCAAAAGATCTGTCTCCACAGGACTTGAGCTGGAGCCCCTCTCCTGAGAGTGACACAGTATGCTCCCCTTGGAATCACAGATTTTCTAGAAAGGGAAAATCCGTGAGCCCACAATCCTATTCACGGAGCAGTCGAGGCAGTCATGGCCATCGATCCAGGAAGGAGCACCACAGCAAAAGCCAACTTAAAAGGAGACGATCGAGAAGCAGGGATAGGACCAAAAGAAGCCACAGGAGGTCAAGGACTCGTGACTCCAGAGTCTCTCTGAGAAACCAGAGAGGGTCTCTAAGTCATGAGAGCACCCCATCCAGAGAATTCAGCAGATCACGATCACGTAGCAAAGGCCACAGCAAAAGGAGATCAAGAAGCAGAGACAGTGGTCGTTATTATGCAAGAGACCATTATCAAAGGAGATACCACTGGGGTTATGCTTTGTGTAGCCGAAAGGTGTACAGAGATGGCTGTGAGTCCTCCAGCAGGAGGAGGACTCAGTTGAGCACTCTTTACTCAAGGCAATCTCCTAGTCCAGAACTCAGGATACGATCGTTTGTTGAAAGGGCCGATTCAAACAGCCAGAGGGGAATCCATGAGAGACATTACTACTGTTATGAAAGGTGCAGGTCAAGGAGTCGATCAAGCAACAGGTCAAGGAGCCCTTCTGGAGGAACTGACAGAATGAAAATTGAAAAGCCGGGTGGCAAAAGAAAGTACAAAACTCGCCACTTGGAGAATGCATTAATGGGGAGCACAAGTCTAGAAAGGGAAAATGACCTCAAGAAAACTTTCCCAAAATTCAGTGACTGCTACAAAAACGAAGATAGTCTTTCGGACAATCGAGCAAGCAGTGAGACAAAGCATAAGAAAAAGAAAAAGAGGACGAGGAGTCCAAGCGTGGAGATAGTCTATGAAGGAAAAGCGACAGACACAACAAAGCGTCTTAAAAAGAAAAAGAAAAAGCATAAGAAGAAACACCGGAAGCGCCGCGTGAGTGACTCGGCGCGTTCTTCTCCAGTGGTGATCACGATCGACAGTGATAGCAGCAAGGAGCTGGAGAGTACCGAGTGTGACAGCAGTACTGCTTGGACAGGCACAGGCCAGACAAACAAGGGGGAACACGGGTCTCCGTCTGCTTTTCCGGGGAGGGCAAGATGTGAGGATGTTTACAGAGTTGGTGAGGAAACTGGAGGAGCTGCCAAAAGCCACAGTGTTCCTACCATAAAGGGAGATTTAGATGGTGATGTTAGAAATGCTGATGTTGACCTTCAAGAAACAGCAGCTGATCAGAGTTGTGTCACGGTGCATTCCAGAAGTAATGACCCCCTCCCAGAAACGGGAACCAGCAATGTTCAAGAAGCACCAGCAGCGCCTTCCAGTCAACAGCCTTCCCCGAGGATTTCTTTCCTAGAGTGTCCAGAGAGGCAACCACTGACATTAAGACTGCCAAAGAGACTTGTGAACAGATCATCTTGGTTTGATTTCCCAGAAGAAAAAATGTAGCACTCTTTGCACAGAACACTTCTCTAAATTGGGAATTTGTTTTACTTATGTTTTTCCCCTTGAGAAAAGAAACACCTGCTGTGATTTGTTAACGTTAAAAAAATGTCTGGGAAGAGTGTAAGACCTTGGACTGTGTATGCACTTTTAAGTTAAAGAAGATAGACTATTGCTAGGAAGTAACTTCTAAAGTTTCTCAGAAGACTGGAAGTTGTAATTTCATAAAGCCATCCTGTATTCTTGTAGTATGTAAAATGTATCCATAGAATATTTCCAAGTTTTGTTCAAAGCAAACAGCAAAGGAACTCAAACCAAAAGCCAGAAAAGGCATTTTATGGGGATTATTCTTAGATAAATTGCTTAGTTCATAGGAAATTCAATAGGACTTCCAGTAACTTAAAGTGATCTATGTTGAAACCTGAATAAAGCAATAAGACTTTTTGTTTTCATTGAATTTACATGTGTGGAATGTGTACTTTGCAAAAAACATTTCAGGTTTGAGTGTCTTGCTAGTACAGAACATTGGATGCTCGTGCTGTTAGGAGTACTCCTGGCTGGAAAGGCACCTCTGGAAGTCATCAGGTCCCACCCTTCGCTGCAAGCAGGAACAGCTTTGATCAGCTTGCTCAGGTTTTGTTTTGTTTCTCCCTGTGAGACCTCTCCTAATGTGTGTTTGAGAAGAACCTTCTTTGAATATGGCCTCTCAGTGCTACCTTTTCTAATGTTTGGGAAATTTGGTGTTTTTTTTTTTTTTTTTTACAAATTTCTTCTTTGTGTTTCCCTTGTTGTTCCCTTGCAATATATGTATTCTACCTCATGTCCTATTGCTGTGCAGCTCTGGAGCAGCAGTTTTCTTCTTCTGTATACCCTACTGCTACGTAGTTGAAGACAACCATGTTGTCTGTAGCGTTGGCAACACAGCAGCTCCTGACCTTGTTCTAGGCAACATGCACCTAGCTCAGCTCACCCTAAATGTCCTGCAGCATGTATGTGCAAGGCACATGGCCCAGGCAGGGTCTTGTCCTCTGGGTTTGGGCCTTTTCTCTGTGTGCAGCAGTAGCCCTCAGGGCTGAACCAGGGAATTATCTTCTTTCCCTTCTGTATTACTGTCTCCATGAGTGGTGGGTTTGACCTTGGCTGGTTGCCTGCCAGACACCTGGCAAGCTACTCTCTCACTTCCCCTCCTCCACAGGTTGGGGAAGAAAATAAGATGGGGAAACTCCTGAGTTGACATAAGGACAGGGAGATCACTTAACAGCTACTGTCACAGGCCTAATGGACTCAGGGACAACTAATTTAATTTGTAGCCAGTTGAAAAATTAGTAGAATGATCAGAAACAGAGACAAGATTAAAACCATCTTCCCTTCTCCCTCTCACCCTCACTCCTTCAGGCCTGACTCTTCTACTGCTGCCTCTCCAGCAGTGCAGGGGGATGGGGAATGCAGGTTGTGGTCAGTCTGTTAACACTCTGTCTCTGCTGCTCCTTCCTCCCTCAGCCTTTTCCTCTGCTCTAGCGTGGGTCCATTCTACAGGCTGTAGTCCTTCTAAAACAAACTCCTCCAATGTGGGTCCTCCACAGGGCCACAGGTCCTGCTTGAAAACCTGTTCTTTCACAGGCTCCTAAGCAGAGTGAATGAGGCCATCTTGTTCTCTATGGTGTCAGACAATGACTACTTGATGTTTGACCTCCCAGGCTTTGCAGGACCATCAACTGAAGTCACGCAGGATGAGGCCATGTTGGTTTCAGAGCTGTTTGTTGACCACACTCTGGTGGCCAGAGGAAAAGAAAAAAACAGTATGGTACAGTACAGAAGTTTGTTTCAGAGCTGACTTAAATGCTGAAGCTATATGAAAGTAGAGAAAACTGAACGACAGGAAACATTCTTTAGTCCATTTGGCTGAATAGTTCATTAGGTGGAAGTAGCTAGGTATGACCTTCCTGTAAGGAGTATGTGTAGTCTGTTCACAAAGGTTTCCACAGCTGCAGGTAACATTCTCCATAGTTTTAGTATTTTAGCAAAGCTTCCAATACTGTCTCTCATGGTGTCTCTCTTGAGAAAATGCCCAGCACACAGATAGACAAGTCCATGTTAACATTTGGAGAGCAATTGGCTGAGGAGTTGGGGTCTGGGAGGACACAGGTGAGGCCTGTGTGTGTTTGGTGTGAAACACGGATACTGACCAGAAAAGAAATGGTGAGAGGAGAGAGTGGAAAGCAGTGCTGTGGTAGCCTGCTCAAACACCTGCTCCTTCATAGGCTCCTGAACACAGGCTGCAGCTCCTGCCAGGGAACTCCTCTTGCACGAGGCCTCTATGGGCTCTACCTTCCTTTATGGTGTTTCCCCCTAGCTTCAGTATAGGGTCTTGTGCAGCCTACAGTGTGGACAACTGCTGCACTGTGGTCCTCCATGGGCAGCGGGGAGACAGCCTGTGTCACCATGGTCTTCTCCAAGGGCTGCAGGGGAATCTCTGCTCTGGATCCTGGTACAACACCTCCTCTCCCTCCTCTGACCTGCAGGGCTCTTCTTTTTCTCACTCCTCTCACAGCTGCCCTGCAGGTATTTTTTTTACCCATTCTTAAGCATGTTTCCACAGAGGCACCACCAGTATGGCTGTTGG